TCGATTGGTGTTGGGTAAGTTGAGGTATAAGGATTGGTGTTAGTAATAGTGGGTGGTTTAGGGGTAGGTTGAACGGGAAAAACATATTCATTGAACCGTACATGACGAGCGATGTAGACTCGTTTGGTAGCGAGATCCAAGCACCGATATCCATGGTGAGTTGCACTGTAGCCCAAAAATACACACAATGTGGACCTAAAATCCATTTTGTGTTGATTGTACAGTTGTAGGTGTAGGAAACATTGACATCCAAAAGCACGTAGAAAATTGTAGTCTGGTTGTTTCTTGAAGATGATCTCAAATGGAGATTTGTTGGAGGAGATACGAGATAACATGCGATTGATAAGATACATTGTTGTTTCAAATGCGAACTGCCAAAATCTTTGTGGAACATAAGAGTGAGCAAGGAGTGTAAGGCCCGTTTCAACAACATGTCGACGTTCGACAATACCATTTTGTTCACTTGTATGTGGACAAGAACGTCGATGTATGATGCTAAGAGATGAAAAGAAAGGGGAAAGATTGCGAAATCCCCCCCCCCCCCAATCAGTTTGAGCAGCTTTTAGTTTAGTGTCAAACTGTCGTTCAACCATTGTGACAACAAGTTTGAATGTGGAAATTGGAATACACATCAGATTTGTTAGTTAATGGAAAATTCCACATTTACTGGGAATAATGATCAACACAAAGCAAGAAGAAACAAAATCCATCAAAATATATTTGTGGTGCAGGCCCCCAAACATCACAATAAACTAAATCTAAAATATTATTGCTACAAAAATTTGAATCATGTAAATGTAGTTTGGAAGATTTTCCCAACTAACACGAACTACAAAAGAAATGTTTGGTGGAAACTGGTAAAGAACAAGTATTAACAATGGAATTAACGACTCGTTGATGAAGGTGTCCTAGTCGCTGATGACACACAGTGGAAGATACTCGAATGGCTGAAAAAGCAATCTTGGGAATGACTTTGAGTTGTGGCAGACAAATGGAGTAGAGACCATGCTTACTTGGTCCCGTAAGGAGACTGGTTTTGGTAATTTCATCCTTCACAACAAAAAAATAAGAATGAAATTCAAAAAAGATGTTATTTTCAAGATGAAATTTTTGGACAGAAAGTAAATTATTTTTTATTGTGGGAACATGAAGAATATTTGCGAGTAAAGGTTTTGTGTGGTGAGGAGACCTTGGACGAGCCAATGTGAAAGATTGGAAGAGCCTTACCATCACCGACATGAATAGAATCTGAACCATAGTATGCTTCTCGGTTGTCAAGATTTGACTGGTTTGGTGCAACATGACTGTTTGCTCCTGTATCAGGAAACCAAGATGCAGCTGAGGTCGAGCCATTATCTGAGAAGGCTGTGAAGTTTGCTTGTGAGGGGGTAGAATAGTTGGTTTGCTGATTTAGACATTGTGAAGGAATGTGCCAGATACCACATCGATTGCAGAGTCCATACATTGTATTTTGAGTGGAAGACGATGCAAATTGTTAACGATTATTGGGTCCTCGACTATCATCACGTCCACAGTTGGAGTGGCTGCGAGAGTTGCCCTAGTTATTGTTGCATCGACTGCCTCGAAAGTTATTTGAGGGGCGAGATGAATAGAAGGCTTGAGGTTGTTGTTGATAAGGAGAGATGTTTTACTGAAGACCAAGTTGTGAAGTAAGTTGTTGAAAAGAGGATAGTTGTGATTGAATAGTGTTTGGCTGAGAAAAGGATGCTTTGGTTGAAGCTATGAAGGCCTGAGGAGCTGCGATCTAAGTGGGGTTGTTTTTGTTGATCATGAACTCATGATCACTGAGGAGACCATAAAGTTCATTAAAAACAATAGGAGGAGAACGAGCCAGAAGGTTTGATTTCAGACCATTATATTCATCTCTAAGTCCTGAGATGACTAACATGACAATATCTTTGTCTTTTACATGTTCTCCAATGTTGGCCAGGGCAGTGGCGTATTCCTGTGCACGAGTAAGATAGGCGATTGAAGACTCATCGCATTTCATCTCAATCTTGAGAAGTTGAGTCTTCAGCGTGCACTCTCTTGATTAGTTGTTGGGTGTATATGCTCGTTCTAATGCAAGCCAAAGTTCTCTAGATGTTATACCTTGAACGTGTTGGAATGAAGCTTCAGAATTTGTTGAGATGATTGCCATCCTGACATGTGTATCATTTGAGATCCAATTGAGATAATCAGGGTTATCATTAGGAGCGGCTTTAGCAGTTGCTTGATTCTTTTGGGTTGGACACTGAACTGTGCCATCTACATAGTCGGAAAGGATGTTGGTTACCAAGAATGATTGGATCATTGCCTTCCAGTACCCGTAATTTTGTTGGTGATAAGGTGAAGGCGAATTTGTGGGAATTATGGGCTATCTTTTATGTAGAGGCAAAGGTTGTAACAATGGCCATGGTTGATTGGAGTAACTGCAAGATAAGTTTAGGGCAACAAAGTTGATGGCTGCTAGGGTTAGTGGTGATCGGGCTCTGATACCATATGGAAGCAAATATTAGAGCATTAATAGAGAACATTGTAATTGATTCACCATAGAGAAAGTTGTAATTAATTCACGTTATAAAATATAGTATAGGGTACAATATATATAGACTTTGATATTACACTTAAGTACCCTAAACTTAGTCTAAATATAATTGATAGTCTAACATTTCGTAATGGTGCCTTGATGATTTTCTGATGGAGAGATGAGAATGCACAATCATGGTGTTGATAAGGAAGAAGAGCATAACTGAAAAGACCCTTCAATTATCCTCCTGATCATTCATATATTGCATCATTTGCATCTTATGGTGTTACAATATACAAATCAAACTTGTAGGTTTTGGATTTCAACGATCATGTCGGGCCAAGATTTTGAGATCATATTTTACTCATTTTAACTACAATATAGGACATTTTAATTTTTAAATCTGAGAAAAGCTAATAAACATATAGATATATTTTTATTTTTGAGTTTTCTCCTATTCATATCAGTCATGGATCAAAATCTAAAGGAAACCAAATATTTGGTCTTGTTTATTATATTAGCTTGTAATCTTTACTTATCGTTTCTTCGTTATCTCTTCATTTATTCCAACAAGTTTGTTGTACCTTTGGTGTATTTATACCACTTATTGTTATTTACATTACTAAAAAAGTCCTTAGTGACCAGTTTTTAGTGACAACCTATATTCTAATCATTAACATCATCATATGATCACTGTATATTAAGTCGTCGCGGAAACTGGTCACTAAGGACTTTTCTAGTAATGTAAATAACAATAAGTGGTATAAATACACCAAAGGTACAATAAACTTGTTGGAATAAATGAAGAGATAACGAAGGAAATGATAAGTAAAGATTACAAGCTAATATAATAAACAAGACCAAATATTTGGTTTCCTTTAGATTTTGATCCATGACAGGTATGAATAGAAGAAAACTCAAAAATAAAATATGTCTATATGTTTATTAGCTTTTCTCAGATTTAAAAATTAAAATGTCCTATATTGTAGTTAGAATGAGTAAAATATGATCTCAAAATCTTGGCCCGACATGATTGTTGAAATCCAAAACCTACAAGTTTGATTTGTATATTGTAACACCATAAGATGAAAATGATGTAATATATGAACGATCAGGAGGATAATTGAAGGGTCTTTTCAGTTATGCTCTTCCTCCTTATAAACACCATGATTGTGCATTTTCATCTCTCCACCAGAAAATCATCAAGGCACCATTACGAAGTGTTAGACTATCAATTATATTTAGACTAAGTTTAGGGTACTTAAGTGTAATATCAAAGTCTATATATATTGTACCCTATACTATATTTTATAAAGTGAATCAATTACAATTTTCTCTATGGTGAATCAATTACAATCTTCTCTATTAATGCTCTGATATTTGCTTCCATATGGTATCACAGCCCGATCACCACTAACCCTAGCAGCCGTCAACTTTGCTGCCCTAAACCTATCTTTGCAGCTACTCCAATCAACCATGGCCATTGTTACAGCCTTCGCCTCTACATAAAAGATAGCTCATAATTCCCACAAATTCGCCTTCACCTTATCACCAACAAATTAAGGGTACTGGAAGGCAATGATCCAATCATTCTTGGTAACCAACAACCTTTTCAGCTATGTAGATGGTACAGTTCAGTGTCCAACCCAAAAGATTCAAGCAACTGCTGAAGTCGCTCCTATTGATAACCCCGATTGTTATTTACATTACTAGAAAAGTCCTTAGTAACCAGTTATTTACATTACTGTATATTAAGTCTAACATTTCGCTATGTTTTGTATAATTTCTTTATCTATGGTCACGTATCATTGGGCTTGGAGCTTCGATGGTGGTTTAGGAGATTGGCGATTTTACTATTGCGTCTGCTAAAGATTTTATTAACCATCACACCCTTCACTCTAGTTCAATTTCAACTCGGTAGGCATAACTTGTCCCTAATAAAGTTAATGTCTTGATTTGGCGTTTGGCTTTGGATAAACTCTCTAAAAAGAATAACTTAGACCTTAAAGATGTGGATGTATCGTATTCTTGCATCTAACTTGTGATACAAGGGTGGAGTTGGTTTCAAACTAGTTTTTTATGTTCTATCTCGATTGATCTTTTGCTTTTGGTGGCTAGATGGTGGGGTACATCAATCCCCATCTTATCATCTTTCGGTAAATGGATTTCTTGGTTTGATTCACTAAGATCATAGAGAAATGTGAAAGAGCATCTCTAGGGAATTTTAAGGTGCACCCACTAAAAAAATATGTGTAATTACAATCGTAATTCATGCATCGGCCACTGCTCGTAATATCTTTTCATTCTTTATCTCATCCAAGAAGTTTGTTGTCCCTTTCATGTATTACCCCTTATTTTTATTTATCCTATCAACCTTTTAAAACCCTAAAATTCTTTCAAATCAAAGTTGAATTTGTATTTTAAAGAGTATACTTGATATTTTGGCATCAATGGAAAGAAACACGTTTAAGGGGTTGTGATTTAGATGTGAGTTTGCCTTTAAAAGGGTATTTACATGATTAATGGTTGTGTTAGTATACCAATTCAATACGTAAAAGTCCACATGTTATTTCACCATTTTAATTAACATATATAAAAAAAAAGTTATTCTTCCAACAATCCCCAAATTGACATGAAAACGGGTTATTCTCTGGGTTGACAATCCCCGCAAGGAATCCAATGCACATTGCAACCCTTGATTATTACTGAAGTATTATCAATCCATAACAAATTCTCCTATAGCGTGAGGGCTTGATAAGTGTGGTTAATGATTACCTGAAATGGTTTTTCAATTTCTTAACACAGAAAATAGGATGTATATGTTGCTACCTAATTATAAATGACAAAAAGTAGAGTACCAAGAACCCAAGGGATGACTTATTCTGTTGTTGATCCTAAAAGTAATTAATATATGATATTGGTTTGAAAACAAGAGTCGTTCAACTACCGAGTAAACCTCCTTTTAAGCATTCAGCTATACCATATTTCAGCTTGACCATTTTCTCCCTTGCCACCTGCAACAAAATGAGACCAAGTGGCACTACACAAATCAAACACAATAGGGGCAGGATAAGCAACCTTTTTTTTCGAAGGGAAGAAACTTACCCTGTGAACATCTGAGAGTCTCTTTTGGGCATCATTAAGCTGTGCCTCAATAGCTTCTTCAGTTTGCATGAGAAGCTTTCTGTGTGACAGCCCTGAAAGCATTGATCAATAATATGAACACAACATATACTTTAAACTCTATTCTATATTTTATTTTAATTATGATTGGCAAACCTATATTTATAAAAATAAATATTTAAACATAATAAAAGCTCATTAAATCCCAAATAAGTTATAATAAAAATAATATGTTTTGGTTATTTTATTAAAATATGTATATAGTTATATGTCATGAAAATTGACATATATAAAAATGGATTGTGTTGCAAAGTTGATTTCATTTCATGCATGAAAATTAACAAAATGGACTCAGGAATGGTCCATTCTTATGGAATTAACCATTCCACTCCTTCCCTGATTCCAAGACTTGGTAAAGAAAGGTCATACTTTGTTTCTCTACCATCCCTCTAACTTCAATCTCATGTGATTCTAGTCCTTTAAGTGTGCTTCGGCACTTTTCAAGGTGCTGATCCACTTCTTCTTTAAATTTCTCGTATATGCGCTTCAGCTGCTCTTGTTGCTCTGTATTAATTTTTTTCATTAAAGTGTAGTAAAAAATAATCTAAAACATATGGAGTACAACATATATCAACTTCAACTAGATAATTTTATCACCTTGGCATTGGCTTTCTGAGTGCATTCTTTTGGATTTACCAAGGTTTGTTAACTTTCCACTGAAAAAGAATCAGAAAGCATGGGTAACTAACAACTCAATTCTTGATAAACAAATTAATAGTAAGACTACTACCCACACTTCGTTTTGGATCCTAGATTCAGCGTTTTGCAACTGCGAATGTATGTTCATGGAAACAGACAACAATATCTCAGCAGATTGTCTAGTAGTGCTTGAATGTATTTTGCTTTCAACTCTTTCTAAGGCCAAGGCAAACAGCTTCACAGCACTGAAAGATATTTAAAAATGATCAAAATAATAGTATAATGGGAACTGGGAAGAAGAAAAAAAATGTTTATTTATCAAACTCAAAAATGGAAATGGAATACCCTGCAAGCCCATCCTGTTCTGAAGAAGTATCATGAAATTTTTCACAATCTTCATCCCCTGTCCATTTAAAAGACACAATGATAAATAATAATAAAAATAATCATAATTATAATTACAGGGTTTTAGTAGTGTAAATGACCAATTGTTACCTTTGATGGGTGACCCATCTTCAGAGCTCTCAGAAACCTCCTCTTGACATGATGGTGATATAGACCATCTATTTCCATTTATGTTCTTGTTCTCTAATGTAACTGGCACTAGATTTGTAAAACAAAAAGGAGAATATTTGATTATGATTAAAGTAGATGGCAACTAACTAAACAAGATAAGAACAGCATAAAGTAAATGCTACCTGTGACAGGTGAACCATCTTCAGAGCTCTCAGATCCTACATATTTACTTTCTTTGTGTACTGTAGCTGGTTTTGCTACACAGTCTTGAGGGTCCATGGTAAAATTATTTGTGTTTGCATTGGAGTGGGCCCCCATTGAAAACCCTATGCTGTGAGATTTGAAGGATCTTTTAGACAGGCTACCAACATCAAGGTCTTCATGGTTGTTGTAGAACAAATATCTAGGAGCTGTTTTGAACTCAAATGTTGGGCTCTTTAGATCATATTGTGGGTCTAGATTGATCTTTAAGGAATGTTTGGAAGAAGAATCTTGATCCTTATTGTTCTTTAACATTGTACTATTATTACCTCCTCCGGTCCTGATAACTTCAAACTGGTCTTTCATTTCAGTATCTAGCTGAACTTTCTCTATGTCTCCTCTTCTGTTTTCTTTCAATGAGACATTTACAGTATCAGCTTTTCTTTTCCTTACATCAGTAGCTTGATGGTTCTCATCTTTATGAACCCCTCTTTCCTTTCTCTTAGACATTGTAGACCCATGATTCACATTTGTGCTTGCTTTCTTTGACCAATTGTCTACAAAAGAGAATACATTCTTGTCTAATTTAGCTTCTTTAGACTGATATAATGGAACAAACTTTTGTGTTTGAGGTTTCTTGCTGGTGAAAGATCGAGTTACTGGTCTCTTGTTTAGACTTCCAGAGTGGGTTTCTCTTGTCTGCAAATGTTGGCTATCACTTTTGTTGGTCACAGACTTGGGCTTTGAATTATTTGCATCCATTCCAAAAGTCTCATGGTCGTATTGTTTCTTGTTAGGTGAATAAACAGTTCCAAGTAACTCCTGGACTTTCATTCTTAATGCCATGTTTCCATTGTTTCCTCTTTCACTTGTTCCCTGCTCTGTTATCCCTTTCTCTGGCACAGTTACTTTCTGTGGAGTTGCATATGAAGACTGTTCTTCCCTGCCCATGACAAAATGGCTGCCTGCTTCACTTTGGTAAGTGTTTTTCTTTGATTTTTCCTCATTATTAGCATCCTTGGAGTGAAGATCAGACATCTGGGTTTCAAAAACTGTATCAGGATCAGTTTCACCAACTATCTTGTTAGGTTGCAGTAGTACATTGCTGGTGGAAGGCAAACTCGAGACTTTTGTTGGATGATTAATTGTATCTGGATGTGATATGATTTGATGGGAAGTGTTTGTATAAACCAGTGGAGGGGGTTCCTGGCATGGAGCTTTGTTCTGTCTTTCTGTGGGAGTATCTTTTGCTGATGTTACATTTTGTGAAGTTTGCAACTCAGTCACATCTCCCCTTCCATTTTTGCCCTTCGTTTTGGCAACAGAATCAACCACAATACCTATTGATATCTTCCTTGACTGGCTACATGGATGGTATTTGCTACCCAAACTCCAATTTCCACTCATATGATCCTGGCACATAGATAATTTGATCAATTAAGCCTCTATATTTTCCTGAACTTCACTAAACATATAAATCATTGTAGGAAACAATTTGTTTTTCAGTGAGCGGGAAACACAGTAGACACAAAGGAAATAATGGCAAAAAAAAAAGCAGAAAGTGGACAAAATCCTAGTAAATGTGGTTGATGAGGAGCTTCAAAACATTTAATGCGTGATTAGAAAGATGATTAAACAAATTCTCGTCCATTGATGTCAAGTAATGAACTGAATCTATACGCAATACAGCTACGTTTAGATCAACATAATGAGATGTAAAAGATAGGGTATGACGTGATTAAAGGTATCCACAGATGCTTACATCTAGTAAATGTAGCTGCCTTCCCATCCCCGGCTTCGTTACTTCGGATCAATTATGGAAAATTTTCGGAACTACAGGTTGCTAGAATCTCGAACTGAAGATAGAATATATATATGTATCAGGTTACTTGTCAACAAAAATTCAAATGGAAAGCAATATAAACGATTAACGAATAAAATTGCTACATCTAAGAAATTGTGTTCCTGGATATGAATTTGGTAAATAAATTGTGGATTTAGAAGTCATGGTGACCAACTTCAGCAACTTAGGGTTCTGGATCGCAGTGCTAACAAAGTTATTCGGCTACGAACTGAACCAGGATTACGACATCAGGGATATGAAACGATTATCAGAGTTGAAGTTCAGAATAACTGACCAATCAGCTCCAAACGATCCAAATCCACCGATGTGAAAAGGAAGGAGCTCACCTACTTAATCACGATCCCTGTCTGAGAACATTGAGCTGGTTGCTTTGCAATGTGATAACGGTTGCAGACAAGTGGCTGAAATTCAATCGTGAAAGCGGGAAGGTAATGAGCAATTCCTTGATCGATCGAGATTCGAGACCAAACGCGGGAAGTTATAGCGAAATATTTTCAAATGCCCAAAAATTGTGTTGCAGGTTGATCTATCACCTTGATCATGCAATGGACGTTTTCAAGTTTTGAGTTTTTGAATTAGGTTTCGCTTTTTCACATTATTAATTACTACTAATATATCATAAAAATTGGTTCTCATATATAAACTATAAGTTTGCTTTAGTTTTATTTTGCTATAAATAATTTAAGCATCGACTTATTAATATTTGCGAAAACATAGATCAAATTAAATATTATTTTTAAGACACATAAGGAATGCATGTAAATATTAAAGTTTGAAAGAAAATAACAGGGAGTTTTCAAAAAATTTAACTGGCGACAAACATTACGTCCTTGTCTTCAAGATAATCTGGATTGACTTTGAAATTTAAATGATCAAACATAATATACACATTAAAAAAAAAGAAAAAAAAAACGTTTGGTAATATAAATAGCATTCTCATTATAATTACATCTCATTCTAATAATTAATGTGGTGTTATTTGTCAACTTATTGGTTTTTTATTTCAAATTTCAAATTTAAATTTTTTTACTCTAATAACATTACAATAAAAATTAGAGTAAATTACACAAATGGTGCCTATGGTTTAGGGTATTTCGCGAGCTTAGTCCCTAACTTATTTGTTTAACTCGGAAGATTTATGGTATTTGTTTTTGTTACATGTTTGGATCCTACTGTTTGTTTTTGTTACGCGTTTAATTTATGTCTTACCTAAAAACATTATTATTTAAATAGGAAAAAATGTTAGGGTAGGTAAGGTAAAGTGAGGAGGTGGGGTTGCAGGTGTGTTTATTTAATAAAATTAAGAGTAAATTACACGAATGGTTTGTGGTAATTTGCATGTTTGGTCCCTAATTTACTTTTTTAACTCGGAATGTCTCTACTGTTTGTTTTTGTTACGCGTTTGGTCCCTTCTATTTGTTTTTGTTACGCGCTTGGTCCCTGTCTTACCTAAAAAGACTATTACTTGAATATGGAAAAATGATGGGATAGGTAGGGTAAGGTGAGGAGAGTAGGGTTGAGAGTGTGTTTATTTAAATAAATTAAAAAATCAGGGGCAAAATAGTCTTTTTAGGTAAGACATGGACCAAGCGTGTAACAAAAACAAACAATAGGGACCTTCCGAGTTAAAAAAATAAGTTAGGGACCAAACGTGCAAATTACCCTAAACCATAGGGACCATTTGTGTAATTTACTCTAAAATCAAAAAATCAATGGCAAAATAGATTTTTAGGTAAAACAGGGACCAAGCGCGTAACAAAAACAAACAGTAAGAATCTTCCGAGTTAAAAAAATAAGTTAGGGACCAAACACGTAAATTACCCTAAACCATAGGGACCATTCGTGTAATTTACTCTAAAATTAAAATAAAATTAATAAAGATTATAAGATGATATAATTTCATGTATTTATTTAGATAACGATTATAATTTTATATAACTAAAAAAAATATCTCTTAATTAATAATTTATTAATAATGAACTTTGTTTCTTGAGAACATTTGAGATGATGATGAGTTCATTTAAAGTCTTTGGTTATTTATTGATGTATTGGACCTTTCTAGATAACTAGAAAGGATAGGCAGGCATTTGAATTGGACAATGACCTAAAGCCATGATTGGAGTGTTGGAAGTAGTTCATAACCTCCAATAGACTTTTTCTCATAATTTTCTTACAATGTTGATGTGATCAAGGAATACCTTCCGATCTTTATGATGACCTCATAAGGCTACAAGTGGATTGTTCAATGGAGCTTTACATGATTCTCTTGTATGTAATTTTCCCATGTATAGTCTCAATGCAATCTTTCTTGCAACATCTAGGGTTGTACACAAATCGAAGGTTCATCGAATTAATCGTGAACCGTTCGGCGGGAAGTTCGTTTATGTTCATTTATTTAATAAATGAACAAAAATAACCACAAATTTTTGTTCATTTAGTTAAATGAACAAACATGAACAATTCTCGTTTGTTCAATTATGTTCGTTTATGTTATTCATTTATGTTTGTTTATGTTTGTTCATTTATTTTCATATATGTTTAATTGTGTTTGAGTATATTATTATATTATATGTACAATTATATTTATATTTGTTCAATTATGTTTGTTTATCTTCGTTCGTTTATCATGTTCATGAACATAAACGAACAAACATGAACAACGTAACTTGTTAAATGAATTAACATGAACAAGTAAACTTGCTTGTTTATCTGTTCGTGTTCGTTCATTTGTTCGGCTAACTTAAATGAATGGACATAAACAAGACTTGTAACACCCGTATCTTTAGGTATTGCTCTTTGAAGTTTGTTCGTTCATTTATGTGTTCGTGTTCGTTTATATATTGTAACACATGTATCTTTAGGTATTGCTCATTGAAGTTTTATAGTATTTAAGTTGTTCATTGATATGTGCATATTTAGTGTGTATTAAGTGTAGTATTTATTCATATATTAGCTAAATTGTTGCATATTATGGACAAAAGGTACTTAAAAGTGTTAAATTATGTTTTTCAGTCCAAAGGGTGAAGCTCGGAAGTGAAAGGAAGCAAGAGAAGCGGTTAGGAGCTCAAGAGTGGAAAGAAGAAAGAAAACACCCATAAAAGGCACGTCGAGTTGCCCCTTGACTCGACGAGTCTGGTCGCGGATTCAGAAAGATAAGCATTCGGAAGTCAAGATAGTTATCGGATTACGACTATTGTGAGAGGGACTCGGCGAGTCACCATATGACTCGACGAGTCGGAACGCATATATAAAGATAACTCTACAATGCGAGAAGAGAGAATTCTGGGAAGTTTCAGAAGTGCTTAGCTGCGAATTAGAAGCCATAAGATCCCTAGAAGTCGACCAAAGAGGCTAGAATCCAATTCCGGGAGTAATTAAGGCATAATTTCACCATTCTACTTAATTCTTTTGTTTTGTCAACATGATTAAGCAACTTGAACTTATTTGTTTGCTGTTATTTACCTTAGTTATGAACTAATTTCTTTAGACTTCTGTTTGGGGATACAAAGTTGACAATATGGTTTGATTGATTGGTAGGATTAATTCCAAGTTGGTGATTAATTGTTATTTTAGCTTGCTAAAGAACCTTGTGTATGAATGATAATTAATTTTCTGTTAATAGGAAGATAATTGATTAGCATGAACATCTATTGATTATCAACCTCATATGATATGTGACCACTATACCATATGTCTAGGATTAATGAATATGAAACTAGGATTAATAAGGAAATTGAGTAAACTCATGTGCAAGCTTGTAAGATGACCATCGAACAAGAGGTTAATTAAGAATAACGAATTAATTAGCTATTGCAAGTCTAACTTAACCCGAATAATTAATCTAGTAAATATAATTAAATTAAGCAATTGGCCACTGTTTGAATTAGTTTATTTGCTAAGGATTAGGGTAGTGAACACAAACTTAATCACTTGAATCGGTAACCAACGAAAGAATTAATCCATTGCACTATTACCTTAAAATCAACCATAAAGTTAACCGAGTTGAACTAAACAGAAGTTTCTTTCCCATTATTGAATCTAGTTAATTTGTTCTTTTCTAGTCTTGCATTAGTTTTAGTTAGTAAGTTTCTAGTCTTGTAAAACTAGAGAAAAAACCCTATTTGCTAATTAACTTAGATAGAATTAGTTTTTAATTTAATTTGCCGTTCCCTGTGTTCGATACCCTGCTTATTTAGCTATACCACAATTGATAGGTTCACTGCCTTTTGTGTGTTATTTGATAATTAAAGTAGGATTAAAACTAAGTGAGTTTTACACACATCAAGTTTTTGGCGCCGTTGCCGGGGAACGGTTCTAAAATTAGCATTAAAATTCTAATTCAATCGATCCTTTGTGTAAGATTCATCTTACACAAAGTTAATTTCTGTTTCATTTTTTGTTTAAGTTTTAGTTGAAAAAAAAAAAATTTAATCGTTGATTTTAACTTGAACTCGCCGAGTGCATTCGCCCCGACTCGGCGAGTCTGACGCTGAATCAGATTTAATTTTTTGTTCTTTTTTACGCGTTTTGTTTTGTTTTTGTTTGCAGTTGGTTCATGACCCGAGGATCTGCTACGCCTCTAGTTCCCCCTCTTGAAGATCCGGAAACCGCATTAAGAAGAAACAAGGGCAAAACCGTTGGAGAAACCGCTTCTTCAAAGAACTCACCACTCAAAAACCTCAAATCCGTTTTTAGCAAGAAAAGGAGCAGCAAAGCAGGAGCATCCAGTGCATCGTTGACAACCGAAGATCCGATCCCAAAAGACACCGACTACGAGACCGAAGAAGAAAGCGAGCACACATCCGAGTTTGAAGACGACTTAGCCACCGCTATGGCTAATATTGACGAAATCCCCATGGGGGAGTGGAAGAAAAGGATGCGTGATGACACCGGCCCGGGACTTGTGCAACCCGCAATCCCCGCTACCGCTACGTTTGAACTAAAGGGCCATATTCTCGCTCAACTCAAGGAGATACCATTTCACGGGAGAGATCATGAAGACGCCTATAAGCACTTAGATGAAGTAAATGACGTGGCGGATTACTTCAATGTACCTAATGTGCCCCGCGAGATCCAGCTACTACGCATGCTTCCTGTCACATTTAAAGGAGCTGCAAAGGATTGGTTGAAGTCACTCCCTCCCGGATCAGTTACCACATGGGCCAAAATGAAAGAAGAGTTCATAGATCACTTCTGCCCACCTTCCAAGATAGCCAAGCTAAAGAAAGCCATTGCCAACTTCGAGCAACAACCCGGTGAATCCCTTTATGAAGCTTGGGAAAGATACAAGAGCCTACTTCGAAATTGCCCCCACCACGATCTCAATAGCCAACAAGAGGTCTCTATCTTTTATGATGGAGTAAATGTCACCACGAGGCAACTACTCGATTCACAAGGCCCACTCACCCGAAAGCCACCTCCGGAAATAAAGGAGTTAATTGAAGAATTCTCCAGGCACTCTAGAGAATACCACAACCCGAGGAATGAAGTGAGTCGAGGAGTAGTAAATTCGGTAAACGATGGTATGGCGGCGGTGATAGCTAAACTCGATAGCCTAGACCGAAGAA